TTAGAGTGGTCCTATGAAATCCATCTTTTGTCAATAACTTTTTTATTTGAAATTTATCATGAAAGTTATTTTCTAGAGACTTTTAAAACTCTTTAAGACGAATGTTTTATACCTGTTTTGTTGCCTGTATCTCTTCTAATAAAAAAGATATATCCAAATATAGTAAAAAATATAAATAAATTCAAATTTATTTTATACGAGTTTAAAAAATAACATACCTCCAATTTTGTCATATTATTGAGAATAACATACGCCCTTTCAAATGCCGTAAGAAAACTTTTTTTTTGTTTGCCCCAACCAGAGATATTAACATTTGAAAAGTGCATATTTTTAGTATAAAAACGTCAATAACTCTTGATCGGCGAAAGATATCGACAAACTTTGTGCAACAAAAATTTGCGCCTTTTTAAGATCTAAAAGTTATCTAAAGACACATTTGCTGAGAAATTCGAAATAAGAAAACTAGAGCAAAAAAAACTGTTTTTTTAAAGAGCCACCCTAACTCAATTCAAGAAAATAGCTCTTAATCGGCCAATTTGAGAGATACAAAAAAGTTATTCTGAACAAAGTTGCTTGAAATTAGCTCAGCTATAACTTTGCCGAAGAATGTATACCTTTATTTATTCAAACAAAAAAGTTAGATTTTTTATTTTATTGATAATAGGAACCACCCTAGAATTCATTGTCATAAAAATGAGGGCCTAACTATAAGGAACAACTTTGTAGAAGAGACTTTTAGTCTAAAGTTTCAATTTCAGGCTCAAAACATATCATTCCACCTAAATCTGCATTCTGGACCACTGTGCATTGGGACCAAACACTGATTGTACGGCAATTTGAAGAGATAACTTCCTGATGTCTTTAAAAAAGTTTTTAAGCAGATAGTTGGCCACCTTTTGGAAAGAGTCAGTTTCCGGTAGGACACAAGTCTGGTCCTGTGGAAGATCCGGAACATCCGTAAATGTGCTCAATTCATGAAACTGATCCTAGAGCTTCGCGTTTTTTCGAAACCACTCATAGACGTCTTATCACAATAAATTCGGAGGAATGACTAGCAAATGGACAATTAGGACTACAGGATGGTCCACTAAAAGATCCGGAACATCCGTATAAGTGGTCAATTCATGAAACTGATCCTAGAGCTATGCGGTTTTTTAGAAAACACCCATAGACATATTTTCAGAATGAACTCGACCTGTGTTCGGAATATGGACTCTGGAGACTAAGGGATAGTCCACTGGAAGATCCGGAACACCCATAAAAGTGTTCAAATCGTGAAACTGATCCAAGAACGCCACGGTTTTTTTTTTTAAAAGCAGTCATAGACGTCTTATGACAATATAATCGAAGTTTTGACCAGAAACTTTAAACTTTGGACCACGGGTTGGACCACTAACAGATCCGCAACATCTTTAAAAGTGGTCAATTCATGAAACTGATCCTGGAGCTCCGTGTTTTTTCCAAACCACTCATAAACGTTAAATTACAAATAATTCGGAGTTGTGATCGGAATATAGAGCCTAGGGACCACTTACCGAAAGATCCGCAACATTCGTAAAAGTAGTCAATTCATGAAGATGATCCTAGCGCTCCGCGGTTTTTTCGAAACCACTCATAAACGTCTTATCACAATAAATTCCGACGAATGACCAGCATATGGACGCTGGGGACCACGAGATGGTCAACTAAAAGATCCAGAACAGCGGCGCCGGTGGTGTAGTGGTAAGCGTGATTACCTCTCACCCCAGCAGGTCAATCAGCCGCCGGGATGTTCTGAGGTGTTAATCTCTGATCACGCCTTTCTTCGGAAGGGAAGTAAAGCCGTTGGTCCCTGGTTCATGAGTTGATGGGTCGATAAGTAGGGTCCAGGTGTGGGCACTGCCTCCCTGGTAACATTGGTGCTCAGCACGGAAAACAAATCAACAAACAAAAAAAAAACTTCCGTAAAAGTGGTCAATTCATGAAACTGATCGTAGAGGTCCGTGGTTTTTTCGAAACCACTCATAGACATCTTATAAGAATGAATTCGGAGTTGTGTTTGAAATATGGACTCTGGAGACAATATGATGGTCCACTGGATGATCCGGAACATCCGTAAAAGTGCTCAATTCATTAAACTGATCCTAGAGCTTCACGGTTTATTAGAAATCACTCATAGACGTCTTATCACAACAAAATTGGAGTTGTGACCAGACAATTTATGCTAAGGACCACGGGTTGGTCCACTTAAAGATCCGGAACATCCGTAAAAGTGATTAATTCATGAAACTGATCCTAGAGCTTCATAGTTTTTTTTTTAAAAACCACTCATAGATATCTTATCAGAATGAATTCGGAGTTGTGTTCAGAATATGGATTCTGGAGACTACGGGATGGTCCACCGCAAGATCCGGAACATCCGTAAAAGTGGTCAATTCATGAAACTGATCCGAGAGCTCCACGGTTTCTTAGAAATCACTCATAGGCGTCTTATCACGATAAAATCGTAGTTTTGACCAGAAAATTGATAGTGGGGACCACGGGGTGGTCCACTGAAAGATCCGGAACATCCATAAAAGAGGTTAATTCATGAAACTGATTCTATAGCTCCGCGGTTTTTTTTTTAAACCTCTCATAAATTAATATGAATAATAAGTGAATAAGACAATATTTTCAAATGGTTTATTGATTAAATTTTAATGTGATGAATTAAAAATATGAACATTAAATATAGTCACTCAAAAGAAAGATCTCCAAGAAGTCAAAAGAAAGAAGTCCATAAAAACACTAAGATATATATATCATAACAATTAAGGCTGGTAAGTTACTGTAGTAACTGGAGCACCTAGGTTAAAATTAAATGTAATTTGTTTGAATTTGGAACGTGACTGTCGTGACCTTACCAAGGTTTCAAGCCTTGGCCATTTGTTTTAACAAAGGCCAGTGAGATGCACATCCATGCGCTACAAGATTCGTTAAATGACTGATTCGAGCATGCGAAGCGATGCACTCAAGGCTCAATTCCTTCACGCATGCATCTGTGTGGGTTTATTTAGACCATCGAATCAACGGTACACGCTAACTGAATCCAACTCAAATTGAGTATGTCAAAACTTGAGGGCGTATATACGTATATATGACGTTGCGTGTCCGAAACGATGCAGGTAGGGGAGAACGGTACATAACGCACCGGGGTAGGACGCACTTTTTCATTTTATTTTGAGATTTTCTTGGAATTCTGAATCCAATTCTAGGATTTGTCATCAGGGCGTCACAATATCAGCTTCAATCGACCAAATCGATGCGACGAAGAGACTGCTGGCTTTCTTTTTCTGTTAAAGTCGAACAGCTTCGCAACATTCTAGAACCTCAGTCGGCGTGCACAAACAAATGTTCAATAGCTTGTCTCTCTTTCTCCCGTCGCTCCATTGGTCTTCCTTTCAAGCTTCGGTGAAACGTATGAGCGAAAGAGCGCTCGACTTTGATAGTTTTCTCTTTCATGAAACACATCAACAGAGGTTTCATGACGTATATGACGGAAAATGAAATAACAGATTTAAAGCATTTCTCACGTGAAAACACGTGAAGATTACACGTAATATTTTTAATTTATCTTCCATCCATATATTTATCTAAAAAAAATGATCAAAAACGGGACATAACGCATTTTAAACAAATTGAAAGATCGGTGATAGAGTGGTCGTGAAAGGGGATTGAAAGCCATAATGAGGTTCGTTTAACTAGAAAATCGACGTTAGTTACATTGAATGTGATGAGCAAAGCAACGACGAGAAGTTCCACAGCCAGCGTTTCCTTCTAAGCGTGCTTCTTTTTCACTATCATTTCTTGCTGATAGTCTAGCTAGGCGTTATAGAAATGAAGCGTCGAACACGTATGTATGAGAGAAAAAAAACACGAGTTCTTTTTAGAGCTTCGAAAATGTAGAGCCCTGTTTGTCATGCAGGATTTGGATTTCAGATGCTATGCTAGGAGTGCTGCTTGATAAGACAGCAAAACAGTTAGGGGAAATGACGGCTTCGGCATGACAGACTATTTTCGGCAACCCAAATTGAAACACTATTTTCACTGGATTTTCTTACGAAAACACTTCGCTGAATGCATACAAACGATTCTTTATGCTTTCAGCTTCATTTTGACTATATTTTTACCACTGAGAAAAAGCAATCTAGCAAGGTTTTCTTGAAATGCACCACACACACTACAAATTGTAGCTGATTTCGAGTTGCCGATAATAGAACAGCAGATTTACATGCAGTTCAAATGGAACGGTTGCCGAAGAAAAACTGGTTGCCGACAATACTCGCTCTCACTAGAGAAGATTGGAGCTTTGTAAAAGCGTTTCAAACAATTCTTTCGACTGAAATTGTTAGAGCAGCTGGCAGCAAAAGATTGTAAACAAACCAATACTGCATATGTGTGCGTTCCCCTACGTAAAAGCCATGAAAAACACAAATGAAAGTCAGCTGGTGCGTTCTCCCCTTGGGGGTGCGTTGTATACCATTGTCCCCTACTTTCTGAAGCAGCCATGGCCAGACAGGAACTGCGTCAAGTGGAAGGACTTCTCCATGCTTCCTGTTCACCCAGGTCAAAAGAATCGGTATTAGCCTGTGTGTCCATCTACCGTTCTCCGCTGCGTCCCACTCCTGTTGCCACTTAGCCATCGATTCCGTTCTCACCAATGTCCGTACTCGTCTGGTATCTCTTCGCATATAGCATTCGCTGTCTTCCGTCAAGGTGATGACGAAGGGTATCATACCGGCGATAACGCATACTGCTTCCGTCGAAATTGTTCTGTACGCTCTCACGACTCGCATGGCCATGAGGCGGAGCGTACTGTTCAAGTTTCTTTGGTTCTTCTTCGTTTTCAGCGCTGCATCCCAGGCTGGACCTCCATACCTTAGTATCGACGACGATACACTAGCCAGAAGACGTCTTTTGCTGCTGCTTAGTCCAGAGTTGTTAATATTTAATGCTTACATATATTTTTTATATTATTTCAGCTTAAAGTGTTCGATAAAAATGAAGTTAACATTTATGGTGAGTCACTTCTTTTGCGAGAGTTCTGCATCGTAGAAATACAGACCTTGATTGCTGATCATAAAGTACATATCGAAGTGAATGCGGATAAAATTATCAAAATTGCAGAAAAGTTAACCTCTGTGAAAAGTTCATTCAAAAAATGTCTGAATGATGTTCATGAATCTACCAAACTGGTAAATATAATTGGTGGTGAACAACATATTTATTTTAAATAAATCGTTAAATATTTATGATTGTATCGGGTCAAACCCAAGTGATTTTATTGAAAAAAATAATCCCTCATGGTGAGAAAAATGTATTGATTGATTGAGTTAATCTTAGTAGAAATAAACATTTACTTATTTACTTTAGATTGTAAACTTAAAATATTTTGTTCAATAAATATATTTCAATATATAACGATAAAAAATGCTTTAAATAGAACATATCCATTCTCTTAATACATAAGGAGGTCTTGATGGGGCTCCCAAATTTTCAGCATCTGCGCCAGACAACCGAAATCATCTGCCAGGAATTACGAATCGGGGTACCCAGCTAGCTATATTTCAACCCAACACCAGGAACAGCCTTCAGCGTTTAGCTCCCAACTCCAAACAAAGCTCAATCTATGAATAATTCCCGAAGTTTCAAGTTAATTATCATTTTCTAATTCCCAAATAAATTAATTAACGAATTGTAGTACTTTAGTTTTAATAATTTATTAAGTAAAAAGCTTGAAATATTCCAAAACAAAATTTTTTAAAATCTCCATAGATTATTTCGTTGCCTTTCATCGATTCCTATCGCTTTCTCCTATCCCTTATTATCTTCGTAGAAGGTGCGATCAGTGGTTCTTTCGAAGTGAAAACGCAGGCCTATGAGATCGAACTCTCGTGATCGCAGAAAAAATATCACTTTGCGAATAAGATTAGTTTGTCTGTTTGTGAATCATGATTTATCCATCCTATCTGTTTTACCCTACTGTACATGGTTTTTCTCTACTAAAATGTTCAAATTTTATTTCAGAAGTCATTATCTTATAGAAATCTAAAGAATTTTACCATGTGTGGGTGAAAACAAATATAGCTGGTGAACGCCAACGGACCGCTTTTGTAGATCAACTCAGGGAGCTGGCAACCCTTTATCAATCCTACACAGAAATTCAAAACAACCCAAAATTAAGTTCTTTTCACTCATCTCCCATGTTCCGTACGATAAGCCAAATTTGGGTAAACCGGCTCAAAGTAGTTTGCATTTAAGGACGGCAAAAAAAATTACCCATCGCTAAGTTATTTTCAATTTTTTCTACCCAAAATTAAGTTCAATTAACTCAAATTTGGGTATATCGCATATTACTCAATTTTGGCTTCTCGTACGGAACTAGACGGTTGAGTCGAATCTTTCGTTCTATTTTTGAAAACAATAGCGAGAGGAAATGAAACGGGCAGAGGTCAAATAACTCAAATTTGAGTTTAAAAAACCCAAGCGGTGGGTAGTTTTGTTTTTCTGTGTATATGTTTGACAGTAGGCAACATCACGGGCCTTATTTAAATACGGCCCGCCTGACGTATACATGGTGGAAAGGGACGACAAATCGTGTTATAAGCAGGAAGACAAGAGCAGATGATAGCATCAAAAACATGGCTGCCAGCCAGGCCCCTGGATCAACTGCAGCTCGGTTTCAACCAATGACATTTATATAAGGTCTGGGCCAACAGGCAGCTTGCTGGTGTTAGAAGCAAAAATGTTGTAAACATTGCTGAACATCTCCGAACAGATAGAAATACGTCACTGCCAACATACTGAGAACAGATAGAAATACGTCACTGCTAACAGCTGTTTCGTGTAAAAAGATAAACATTGCAATAAAATACGAACACCACTAAACATTTGCACATTTCACTAACACCAATAAGCCCTTTGGCCCAGACCTTATATAAACGTCATTGGGTTTCGACTATCGTGCAACCTAAAGATTGAGTAAAGAGGCTACATCTGATCCATTTGACAGGCCTTCTGTTCGATTGGAATAACTTTTCCTATGACTTTGACAGATAATCCAATTTTGACATGTCGTCTCTTTATAAATTCAGCCAAACCAACTCAATGCGCACCGGTCTGAACATCTTCATGTCAGTAGTGATGAGTGGAATGGTCGTCCTGCAGTGAAACTTTTTCAAGCTTTCGCCACCTACATTTCGAAGTGAGAACTTCTAGAAGGATGATAGTTTCCAAATTCTCCAAGTAAAACAGACGATTTTTGGGGCAAATCGGTACATAAAGAAAAACTAATAATTTCCGGTGGAAACTTTTGCTTAAATCGTGTAAGAAAACGTGTTTGCAAACTAACTGTTATTATTTCGGTATAGATCGGAGATGTTTTCATGTTTTCAATTATGCATAACAAGTTTGCACCCACAGGTAGAGGTTACCTCCTGCGCAGCTGCATTTTTCGGAAAATGGTGAATATGTGCGATTTCCACTAGGATGAAAGTGGAAATTAAGTGAATTTACTTAGGAAAGATTGTATCATGCTGGTGATAATGTAGAAATGGTTGAAGAGGACGCCAATATTCAATAAATGTTCATTTTGGCCTTTTATAGGTAAACATATTGATACTCACAATTTTCGACGGAAAACGCAACGGAACTTGATTTACTCAACACGCACCATACTGTTAAATGGTACTACTCCATGGTTTATAAAGTGATAACAAGATGATAAATCATCTTTATTTTGAGTAATTGAGCAATTTACTTCTGTTTACGTCATATGTACGATGCAGCAATAATGGAGCTGTGAAATTAAATGAATATAGGGGAATTTACGTATTCTCGTCAATCTAAGCAGCGTCTGCACTTCTACTAGCATTTTCTCAGCGTCACGCACATATATGATGTGTCTGTTTGTTTACATTCATCTGCTGCTTGCTTCTCTATCCATTCCAATCGACAGAATTTTTCAAAACGTTTTGAAAGCGTTTTTACAACGCTCCAAACTTCTCAGGTGAGTGTGACTATTGTCGGCAGTCTCTTTTTCTTCGGCAACCTTCCCATTAGAACTGCGTGTTAACCAGCTGTTCTATTATCGGCAACTCGAAATCAACCTCATTTTGTAGTGCGTATGCTTTATTTGAAGAAAAATGTAGCATTACTGGATTGCTCGATCGTTCAAATATAATCAGATTGAAGTTGAAAGGCTAAACAATCGTTTGGACACATTCAGGGAAGTGCGTTGATGGGAAAACATAGTGAAATTAACGTTTAAATTTTGGTTGCCGAAAACAGTCAATGGGTGCCGAAGCCAACATTTACCCTATCTTATGGAAGTTCACCTGGAAAAGTCAAAGATGCATATCAGTCTGATCGTGAAAACATTTTCTTCTTCAATTCGAATGTTATATTGGAAGGATTTTACGCAGGCTTGATAAAAAATATGATTTAATGCTAATTTTCACGAATTTTATATGCAGTCTGTTAACATTATCATCATTATGCAGTGGCGACATCTGCGTCGAGCTTTACGGCAATCTTCCAATAGGTAGATGAAATTCAAAGTAGAAAAGTATACCATCAGCATCGCGTTGCATTTAATAGTTTTCAAGTTCTAACATGTTCGCACAGGATTACACTTTGACCGGATATCGGATTGTACAGTGAAAACTTCGCCGGATTCAATAATTAAACGCGGTTTATTTGTAACTAAAGCGACACTGATAATTCGTCTTCAAAAAGGTCACAGGAAGAAAGGTAAATTCACGCGCGATTGGTGGATAACTAATTTGTTGCCCTTATCAGCTGTTCACTCGTACCTACAATCTACTCGTGGAAAGGAGATTAGCTGATAAGAGATGATCGTGAGAAGGATCTGATCGCTTCGTGCGAGAGTATAATACCCTGTACATACTATGGCTTATATCATGTAACATAGGCTGTCTTGCAATGAGCACTCATACATCTAGTTTTCACTGGAAATCCTATGTATGCCATAGTCGATACGGGGTATAAGAGTAGGTGAAATACAATTTCGTGAGGAACATGTTTGGGTGTTAGTGTGCTTCTATTTATGTTTAAACATACCGCCCACTTTGGAATCTCTATGATTTCAATCTAATCTAAACACTTGTCTTCTTCGATACTGCTGCCGGTTCCATGACGTCAATGACTGCCTCCTCCTCCTTGATGCTGCTTCACTGCTACTACCAGGGAGCTGGCAACCCTTTATCAATCCTATATGTTTGACAGTAGGCAACATCACGGGCCTTATTTAAATACGGCCCGCCTGACGTATACATGGTGGAAAGGGACGACAAATCGTGTTATAAGCAGGAAGACAAGAGCAGATGATAGCATCAAAAACATGGCTGCCAGCCAGGCCCCTGGCTACTACTGCCTACTGCTGGACGACTGCTACGACCCAACAACTGCAAGAACTTGGCATGGAATGACTTCGATCTTCTTCTTCGACTGACTGGCTTGAGGTCTGACACGGGTTGGCGACGGAAAGACTTATCTAAAAAAATGAGGGGGTGCCTTTTCAACTTTTAACCCAACTATAAATCGACTTTCCTGGAGCTGAGGCTTCCTGGCCTTCGCGGGCGCCAAGTACCGATGATGATTCCATGTCGCACGGATGAATTGATCGAAAGAACGGATGTGTTGACCACCAAAATGAGCTGACGATGCTCAGCGAGGCTCCAGTTTGGACAAACATCGGATTGGGGTGCCATAGATTCCCCTTATCCATCATCGTTGAAAATCATCATCCTACTTTACGAAAAGGAATTGCGATAAGGTCAGGAACATATTGTAATGACAGACAGGACAGCACCGTGAACTTCACACATGCAGAACGATACAGGTTGCCGATAACCAATGATGGATCAGCGAATGACGGACGGATGGACTGGTTTTGGTAGACCTCAAGATGGTAAATGGTGTTGACAGTAGTTAGTTCTGGTCGCACCGAAGCACAAGCAGAGCGCTGTTTAGTTTTGCTCGGAAGCAGAGAGATCGTAGTTGTCACGTATCGGTAGGATGCAAATTTTGGAAATTGCCCTTCGGTACAGACCGTCTTGCGTTTTGACAGTAACTACGTGAATGTTTCCATCTGAACTAGCATGGATGTCATCGACACGTCCTAGCTTCCATTTCAGAGGTTGGAGGCTGTCCTCTATCAACAGAATCAAGAAACCGATAGAGATGTTATCGCGCTTGCGGGTCCATTTGGTTCTATTGTGGAGATCGAAAAGGTACTGGACAGACAGATTTGCTGAACGTAGT